TTATTCAATTTTTTATTAAATATAAAATTTTACCTACAAAATATAATTTAACATAAATTAGGTAAAATTTAATTCAAAAGACAATAAAATATCATGATTTAGCGCCACGAATAAGTATAATAACTACACTTATCACATATCATCCTCGAGTGTTATAGGCAGTGGAGAACCATGTAAATCCATGAAGATGCCGATGTCAAAAATTTAGCAATATCACTGGATCTTAACCAGTTTCGATTTTAGGCGATCATGAAGCACTCTAGACGGGGAATGGTATTAAATCACATAACACTGTTCTAGCTGAACATGTTTGGCTGTGCTTCAAAGTTGCTTTCTGTGAAAGTAAATTTTGTTTGCAAAATAAAGTAACTTTTGAATATCATACAAAAAAGCTTACGTTTAAGCACAAACAAACATGCTCGGTTGAAAAATTCCAACATACTACTATACCGGAAGATAGAAAAGTATTCAGATCTTTGGACCTCCGCACAAACCTCTTCTTGAAGAAATTAGAGTGGCTCGACAGATTTTAACTTGAAGAAACTTTGACATGGTATCTTTGAAAAAGCCATGAGTACAAAAAAAATATTGACAAAAATTATACCGACATTGACAGGGCAGTATATGATTTGCCTTTTTTTTCTCTCTCTATCTCTCCATCTTTCAGTGATTTCACACCATTTGTTGTCTGTCAAACTTTCCTGTACTTATAACATGATTGTAGTTTCTTTAGCTTTCCAATCTAGAACAAGAGAATGGTGTATACAGGGTATTCATTGTAAGCCAACAATTAAGAACATCAACAAATAAACTTGCCATGAAAAAAACATATAGAAATTTCACTGTTGAATATCTGAAATAATGGAAGCAAATTCCAAAAACAAGATACATACAGATGAGTCCTGAAGCCATTTTTTGAGGGCCTATTGCTCCCGTTAATCGCCTTTCATCCTCCAGGGACAGAGCCCAATGAGGTCCAATGTAGGCACATGCCTGCACTGAACTTTTGAGCTCAACCTGATGGCCCAATTTTTTATTATTACTTTTTAATGAATATTCACTAATGCCTAATGCTCAACCCAAATTGTGTCTTGTTCCTATGGAACATAAATTGTTTCTCAACCTTTACAATGAAATGATAAATGCGTTGTTTCATGGTCATAGAATATTATACCACGTACGTAACTCATAAGATGAATTGAAAACTTTGCACAAAAGTTGTGTGATAGTCTTTGAAACTTCTCTCCTTTCCTTTCAACACCTTCTCTAAAATAATAAAAATAGAAACAGTGAACTGCATTCAAAATTCACGATATGATGAACCAACAAATGAAGAGCAGCAGCAAACTTCCCCCTTGGAACCAATCAATTTAGGTTATATGCATTTTATGGCAAGATTTATTATTTAATTGAATATTATTTTGATAAATTATAGTAATAGAGTCTGTAGATTCAAATATTAATAACTTGTTAATTACAATGAATTGTGATAATGACAAACAAATTATATATGAATAATTTTAATTATTCGTGGTCTTAAGTAATAATGAGATACGGATATCATTATTACGGTTATACCAGACGTGTGACATTTCTCACTTGTGACATGAGTAGCTGATCTCATAAGTTAAAATGTAGTGACATTTAAATGGACATATGGATATTTTGTATAAGAACAAAATATTAGAAATCCGCTGGAAAGATTCCACATATAATATTTATAACTCATCTACCATATACGTGTAATTGTAAGTTTGATATACAGATTCTAACTAAGTGACTTACTTTCTGTTTGTCTTCCTTTAAAATGAAACTCTTTTATTCTCGTACTCATTTTCAATCAGATATTCACACTTTAAAATATTGTACGTGTTCAACCAAAAGTTTTTTACTTTTTAAACATACATTCTCCAAAAAAATACTATTTAAAACATCACTTTTTTTTCAATAATGACCGTCAAACAAGGGCTTAATCATAGGGAAAGTAAATTTCAACTATCAATCTCAAACAATATAAGTTGAATGATTAAAATGAAACTTCGCTAAAAGTTAAACGAGGGTTTGTTGAAGTAGGTGTGCATTTGATATTTTATTAGTAAATACATTGAGGTTTGGTGGCGAAGGCAGTGATGGCTACAGGGACGGATTCAATATTAGATTACAGACCGAGTTAATACATAAAAAAAAAAAAAATTACACAAAATTTTTTTTTTTTACATAAATATTTTATAGTGCTAATGCGGGCTAATGCGCGCAAATGCGAGCCTAGGCGCGCGAATTTTCCAACAAAAAATGTCAAAAACGCATTTTCCGAGCATTGCACCAATTCGACGCGTTTGGTCCCCGCATCGCGCCTAGGCGGCGCATTTTGGCGCCTTTTCGAACACTGGTTGGGCCAGTCCAGCCCCCCCTAAATCCGTCCCTGGATGCCTGGCCCAATGCATGGACATGGGGTTTGATAAAGCAAATTGTATAGTCTTTGACATTACTAAAGAATACTAAATAAACTAAAAATCTTATTTATTATATCATCAAATTCTATCAACATACCATACCGAACATTCTTATAATCATTTCACTCGGTACTCCTACATTCTACATAATTCTTTGGATGTTGAGTACAATAGTCATAAAACATATATTTCTTTCTCAGAACTTCATAGATTCTTCGCTGAGTTGGACTCAATTGCAAATACTTTTCGGCATTCCAATAATAGGTTTGGGAATAGCATTTATTGGGGTTAGAATTGTCATATATGCACCCTTCAATTTCAAATCCTCTATAGTTAGCTATAAAGGGTTCTTGACTCCAATCAACATTTCCTGCCCAAGTTGCATTCCATAAGCTCGTTTCTATGTGCATTGGATTTGTTAGGTAGTTTGCCCCAATACGTTTGTTGTTCTTGAACACTCTGATTGGTTTTCCATCTACAAAGAACCTAAACACAAGAAAAAAAACAAATTAATTAAATGATAAACTTTTTAAACTAGAAAGGGAACTCATAGTAAGTTCCATAGACTCGACTTGTCTTGTTTGATGCATATAGTCACTACAAAAGGGTAGTCTAGGATGGAAACTTTCCATTACTTATGGTCACCTCGTTGTAAGTGAAGACTTTCACGTACGAAAATTAATGGATAGAAACTCAAATCATTAAAACTTTTAGTAGATTAAGAAAAAAATAGTTCGCTGATGGATAATATTTCATTTTTTAAGTCCCTTATATGTATAAAAAAATTATACTTATAAAAAAAAAAAAAAAAGTTCGGTCCCGGATCCGCCTGTGCTTGAATGTAAATGACAAAAAGAATGTAGAGAGGAAATACACTATCTGATTTTGGTTCCAAAGAATTTCGTAAGTATGAAAATCTGTAGTAGGGTCAAACCAAAGCCTGAACTGTTGTTCCCTGCCTCCAAAATCATTGGCAAAAACATTTGTATTCAATGCGTAACCCTTGCCTGCACTGCCCAAGAACTCAAAATCAAGCTCATCATGGTTTTTGGCTGGCTGATTAGGTATAGCTGAAGTTAACTGCACGCAAAATAATCAACTTATAATTAGAAGCATATATATATAATTAGGTGAAGTTGTTGTGACAATATGTAAACCCCAAAATTCTTACGAAAAATGTTGTGAGAATTCCTTTAGTGTTCTTGCTCGGAATCTTCATTCTGATGCGAAAAAACCCAGAACCGAAAGACTGTTTTGATCGAAATCCAGATCCTATATCACCCCCACATAAGAAACAAGATAACGTAAAACACAAGTCCATTATTAACAAGATGCAATCGTAATAAGGAAAAAACCAATTTGCCGGAAGAAAACGTCCCGAAGCAGTGCTAGAAAGGTATGTGACGGAAGGTGATTGGATGGAAGAGATTGATTGTGTTTTAAAGTGTCTAATGATAGAACGTCAAATGTCATTACGAAAACCTTTATGTCAAATATAATGTACATGTAGCATGGTCCATCGTATTATTCAATAATACGAAAACAGAAATATAAGCCATACCATGAAGTGGATAGATACTCAGAAAATAATGATTATTGATTAGGGAAAAACCTGAAGATTGGTCTATTAGAAGCTGAACTTCTCTTTCCTGATCAAGAACTGTGATATGATTACCTCCCCATGCTGCAACATAGTTTTGATCAAATGGAACTTCAGCAGCTTTTTTAGAATATGCACAGGAGATGAAGAAAATCACGAGCAGGGTAAGACGAACACAATCCATCACAAAGAATTATATGTATATTTTTGAAGAGAAAATTAACGATTTTGCTGGAAAGTTTCTGTATAATTTTCATTACAAGAATGAAAGATATACAACCATTTAAAGGAGAAAGGAAATAAATCGAAATCCTATATTTCTCTTGTTAAAGATATCGAAATATTTAAGTGTTTCAAGAAAACTAAATGTCTGAATTTAATGGAAATCCTATATTTCTCTTGTTAAAGATATCGAAATATTTTCAATATCTTCGTGGTTTATCTAGATTTTATGTGGTTACATGGATAATATTTTGATAGTTTAATTAATAGAAAGAAATCGTTTTATAATTGTTTATAACTCATAACTAGAACAATTTTCTTTGTAATTTAGAGACACAAAAAATAACAATTATTGAACTAAAGATGAACAAAAGTTAAGGATGGCAACGGGGCATATATGGGACGGGTCGATCATTCACACCCTCATCTTGTCGGATATTTTTGTTATCTTACCCCCATTCTGATCTCCATACCCGGTTAAAGCAAAGCGGGGCGGGGCCCCTACCCCATTAATCGTCCAATTTTTTTTATTTTTTACTTTTATTTTTTTATATCTTTAGTTAGTAAATATTATTACTTTTTTACGAATTTGTTAAAAACAACTTATGTTCCCTTTAAATATAATGATAAATATATTATTTTTATTTAATAAAAACTTAAATTTAAAATTAACTTTAAACGAGTTGGATAGCCGGGCGGGGACTATGTTTTCCGTACCCGTCCCATACCACTTCGGGGTAATGACCCTCGCCCCATTTACCCGACTAGGTGAGTAATCTCCACCCCATTTGGGGCGGGACTCTACGGGTATCGAGTTGAACATATTTTTTTGCCATTCCTAACAAAAGTAGCTTACTAGAGGAACCGTATTAGAACTAGACCAAATCAAGTGGTTCAATGTAGTTGCACATTAAAACTCTTGTAGTCGCCCCATTTTTAGCCCATATTTGTCTTGTATTCTTTCAAAACTCTTTTTTTTACTAGTCAAAGTTGAACGTGCGTTGCACATTATTCTTCTACGCTTTATAAGTATTGTAAAAGTAATATTTGACTATTCATTTACCATTTTGATCTAAATATGAGGAAAATGCAAGCTCTTGTAAATAAATGTTAATTATTATATATGCATGTACATAATGAAATGCGTACTTGAACGTAACTATTAGAATTACAACTAAATGTATAAATGAAAATGGATGACAAATACGATATATAAAATAATGTGAATGTTAATTAATTTAGAATTAATACAAATGAATATATACGTGACAATGAAAGCTAAGTCATTTATATTAAATGAATAAAATCTAATTTTTAATTAAGTAAAACTGGATGTCAATTAGAATAAATGGATGTGAATAATGAATTTCATTATTGAATGTGAAATTCTAATTAATATTAATTAAATGAATGTTGATATTAATTAATTGAGAATCAATAACAGGAATATGGATGTGAATGTGAATGTAAAATTCTAATTAATATTAATTGAATGAATGAGAATTAAAAACAAGAACATGGACGTGAATGTAAATATAAATGTAAATGTGAAATTCTGATTAATATTAATTAAATGAATGTGAATCTTAATTAACTAAGAATTAATTACAATGAATACTTGCATGAACAATGATTTTGTAATATTTATTACAATTCGTAAATTAAATGGTTATTGAAAAATGAAAAGTCAAGTATTATTGAAATAATTGAATTGTAGTAGGGCTATAATCATCCAAAAAATGATTCTCACTTGACGTGGGATTTTTCAACCAATATTAACAGTTACAACAAAATATTATACAGGTAAACCCAAAACTTTTTTCTACTTTGTAACCAAATATTTTCCAAAAATTCACTATTCAAAACAATGTTATTCCAAAAAAAAAAAAAAATGCCCACCAAATGTGTCTTATTAAACAAGTGATCTTTGGTTCATATTAACATTTTTTTGAGTTTAGCACTGACCTCCTTCTATCTTAAAAGAATTGAATGCCGCTAACATAACGGAGTCGGGATATTGAACTCGTAGTCCCTTTGATTTTTAAGTCAGTTGTCAACTAAATAATGTCGAGCATAGATTATGTATCAACCTGAATTTTTCAAATATAATTTCCTAGATGGTAAGATATATATACCTTTCCAGTTACATAAATAATGAATGTCATTTGGAAAAAACAAATATGCATATGCCTGTGAGCGAATATAATATGGGTCAAAATGTGTCGAAGTTTTTAGTTGGCCCCTTGAAGAGAAAGTGGTTCAACCGTTCAAGTAGAAGAGTGTTATCTAAAGACGTCAACACCAAAACAGTTAGGGTCTGTTTGATTGCAAGGATGAAAAATTGGTGGAAAGAAAATGTTTTACAGTGAATTGATTTGCCTAGAAATTGTTTTATTGGGAATTGTAATTAATTGTATTTGATTGGTATAATTTTTCATGGAAAATGTTGAAAATTTGGTGTCCGTTTGACTTCTTTTTTTAATAAAAATTGTCCATTAAAGTGATAATATTTTCTACTATTGAGTCTAATATTTGTTCTAATTGTCAAAAAAAAAAAAGGAAAAAAATAACCATACCGAATACCATTCGTTTTGCTTTGTTTTGCGTGAAAATTGTCAATAAAAGTGAATTTTTTTTTACCATTGTGTCTAGAATTTTTTTCAATTGCCCAAAAAATTAAAAAAAAAATGGAAAATATTTACCCACGAAAATATCAAGAATTTATTTTTCTCAAAAATGTGGAAAATTTGAAAAATTGGAAAATATTTCTCCAGAAAATTTTATCTATCAAACACTACAAAAATTGAAAAATGAAAAATACGTACTATCAAACGGAGCCTTATGTGATGCTAAATGATTGCTTTTCAAGATATCAATTTTGATGGTTTTTCAAGAAGAATAATATCATCTCGCACCTCTGGTGTTAAAATATCAATGTATATGATGTTAAGTGATGAGATTTAAGAAATGACAAGCTATCATTCAGAAATTGAAAGTATTGGAAAATGTGTACTTACACATTAGAAACGCTAAATTTTTTTATAAATCAAATGAAATGCAAAGGGAAATGCATAAATGTCAAATGACTGAACAACACACGTTCATTGAATAGAGTTAACGAAATATCCTGTTATTATTCTCCCTCTCCCTCTCCCTCTCCCTCTCCCTCTCCTCTGTTTTATGTCTATGGTTCCATTCGATTTTTCTTCAATTAATTACCCAAATTGAAGTAAGCACTATGGATGCTATAGCGGGTACAGATGAGTTTCAGGACTGGGAGCTTCTCCACCCCAACTCGGATTTTCACAACTCGTCCGACTCAGTTGGCTCAGTCGAAGAAATCGGCTTAATCCAACACAACTATTTCTCCTTGGACACTCAGAACCAATACATGGATGAATCAGATGATAAAAGTTCGGGCGAGTCGAATAATCCGAGTTGGATTGAACCCGGGTCGGAGGAAAACCCTAGTCGGTTCCTGAATAAAGATCCCGGCGAATTCTGGACGGATTCGAGCAGCGACCGGTCTAATGAACGCGACGTTGTTGATTTTGTGGGCAAAATTGAAATAGGTCTCTCTGAAAACGAGAAAAAAAAGGGGGACTTTGAAGGAAGTGATAAAATTGTGGAGATAGAAGAAAAATATTCGGAGAATTTGGAGAAGTTCTATTCGGATTCTGGTAATATTGCAGTGGATCCAATGAAATTTAATGACTTAGGGGAGAATTCCGAAGTGGGTACCGAAGAAAACCCGGATCCTCAAGGTGGCACGAAAGTTTTACTTGAAGAGAAGCACGAAAATGAGACTATTGAAAACGGTAGTGGAAGTATCAATGAAATTGGAGATAACATAAATGGTGAGATTGGAAAAAAGAGTGTTGTGTGGTGGAAGATGCCAATAGAGATTTTGAAATATTGTGTGTCTAGAGTCGGTCCAGTTTGGGCTGTTTCCGTGGTAGCTGCAGTGATGGGGTTCGTGATTTTGGGACGCAGCTTGTATAAGATGAAGAAGAAGAGCAGGGGATTGGAGATTAAGGTTACTATGGATGATAAGGTCAGTGCCTTTTTTTTTCTTCGGTGGATATTCTTAGTTTCATCTTGCTGTTCAGATGATATTTTAGGTTTGATTTCCAAATATTGTTGTGAACAAAGTGTGCAATTTTTTGTGTTTATTAGACTGGAAATATATTACATGCAGAATTTTTTAACTTGAAAACTGTCTTTCTGAGGAAGCTTCAGAAGATAAAAATATGATTATGTTTGGACGAGTTGATAATGACAGGAGTCAAAATATAGATAAGATGTTTTATTTCATTGTTGCCCACATCCTGATATTAATCAGTTTATACATTATTTGTGATTTCTAAGCTAAAGTGATAGTGAAGTTCATCTCTCCTTTCCCTCTTTGGGTGCTGGTGGGCATGTTGAATGACTGCAATTTTATAGATTATCAATATGACAGGAGCCAAACATTCTTCGTCTTTGATCACATCTCTATGAACAGTTGATTGATTGTACCCTGACTGAAACAAAATGCAGTTAATTGCCAGTGAAATGCCGTCTACTCTGAAAGCTTAGTTTGTTGTTCTCATGGTACAGGTTCATAGAATTTTTTTCTCGTTGGAGAAAATATAAATTCTGGTTAGCTTTATTAATGATCTCTCAGGCTCGTATGTTTCATCCGAGTATCACCTTGTGGTTTTCTAGAATTTGATTGTCCGGAGAGGAAATTGATTTTGTGAATAGTGAGGACATTTTTATTTATACTATAAACATTACTTATCCGGAACTTTAGAACAATCTTGAATTGTTATTGGAGTTCATAATTGTCAACAAGGCAGGGGATCCTGAGGAACAAAGCCTCCTGGAACCTTAGTCTAAAGACACGAGGGAAGGATTTTGAGGTACATGCATCATTGTAGCACTGTCTTATGCTTAGGAAGACTGCTGCCTTGTGTGAGAGCCTATAGAAGCTAGATTAATACCTGATGTTACCAAAAATCATACATGTTGATTTCTGAGCTTGAGGGTTGAGAATGAACACGAACAAAATCTTTCAATATTTAAAACAAAGGCGTTGAAGCGGGTCTTCGTCACCTCTCCAATGCTTTAAGCTAGAGAGAGAATTTATGCGTAAGACTATGAACTAAAAATTATGTAAAAGCTTACCTAAACAATGATCCAAAACTTTGTATTTACAGATGTAGATAGTACACTCCTAGTAGGATTAAGTGGTGCACTACTAATAGGATAAATCAATTGAGCATCATTATCTGATTAAAAAGCTATGAAGTGTTTGTGTATCTTTCTATACCTAGGAGTTGTAATTTGATTGGAGTTGTGAAATAGAGTGTTTGGATAAGTACAAAACTCTAGTAGTAGAATCCTATTAGATTAGGGGACCTAATAGAAAGAGAGGGAAAATGATAGTGAGGGACACGACATGTCCAAGGGCTTCAAGCCCGAGCTTGAGCTCACTCATGCGAGCCCAAGGATGTTTTGGCCCAGAGAGAGAGCTCGAGGTCATCATGATCTCGAGCCCGACTACATAAACTCGAGGATGTTCTTGCCCTAGGAGAGTGCTCGATGTTATCATGTCCTCGAGCATGAGGTCCTCGGTGGTTGGGTCATACAAAAATTGTACACATCAATACCCCTTCTCATTTTTGGATGTTTGGTACTTTTGGTTTGGTTTGTTTTGTTTTTTTCTTCCCAAAAATCTGGACGTGCTGCACAAGGATCTAATACATTACAAAAATCATGAATAATTTCCTCATCTAACTTTGAAAGGATCTTGTTTGACTTGCATTTTACTCATGAACAACTGCTAAAACATACAAGAATGAACTTTTCCTGAAGTGTATATATTTTTTTCTCCTGTTCAATTTGTTCATTTTCTTAGGGTTCTTTGTGCTTGATTATGTAATTAAGCCCTTGTTTGAGCCTCATTATTCAAAAACTCATTTTTTTATCAAATTCATTTTCAACCACACATTCTAACTATAAAATAACTTGCAAGTAAACCCAAAACTTTTCCTTACTTTGTAACTACACATTTTCCTATAAATCACGACTAAAAAACTTATTTATTTATTTATTTTTGAAAAATGGGGCTCAAACAAGGGCTAAGTGAATTATAGATGATGTTGATAGTTTTGCCATGTCTGGAGTAGTTTTACCGCTAAGGTCTATTTGTAAGTGTGAAATGTGGCTTGCTATTAGAAATTGTATGCTACTAGATCGTCCCAGGTTAGTATTGTATTGTAATGAATGAAGGACAGATGTTTGTTTCTATTTTGTATAAATTGATGAACTTTGGGGGGACTATATTTGTTTCCTAACTATAGTTTCATAGTAGATGCCTGAACTAGGCTGTAATTATTTGTAGCAGCTGAGGGTTTTGACCGATTGCTTTCAGTTTTGGGATGGAGTGATACTTATTGGTACTATTTTTTCAGTTTTCTGTGTCTCCTTAGGCACATATTAATCATTGATCTTATAAATATATTTGTGCTCTCTAGTCTCTACTTGCTTTCTTCATGTTTGTGTCTTCTGTTTTTTTATTACAATCTTATTCAAATTTTTGATAATTGGATTTTGAAATGTTATTTTTTGCTTTAAGCAATAATGACTTGTTGACAATTGAATCTTGTTTATCCGTAATTTGATTAGATCTCAGTCTGAGGATGATGCTCATAGTGTTCAAGTTACATCTTATTTAATTTTAATTTGGAAAAATATATAAATCACATTATAATGTAATTTTCCTGTGAAACCATCAATTGGGGTTTTGTTTAGACAAACATGACTAGCAATCCCCAATTCCCATATCTTTTATTGAAACCTTGAATTGGCTTCCGGTTGGTTTTGCTTTTGTGAAATCATTTGCTTGTCTGGAAAGATTAACATCCCCGAATTGTCATGTGCACTGCTCTATCTAATTTTACACTGGTTGCTCGAAGAATGACTAGATTGATGTCCTTGTGAAAATCTGGATAGACTAGCACCAAGGTCAAATGAGTCATATAATATGATGAATGTTGTGAATTTACAAGGTGTTAATCGTATTTCAGTTTTGATGTCTTTACGAATTTCTCTATACTCTAGTGAGTTAATTTCTTCCTGAATAAAGCACTGGCCCTATTTTTTCTCCCCTATGTAGGTGTGCTCTTATTATTGTTCATAAACATGTAGTCGTAGTGTTTCGATTCATGATGATGTTATCTTGCAGAAGGTGTCTCAGTTCATGAGCCGTGCAGCTCGTCTAAATGAAGCATTCTCAGTTGTAAAGCGGGTACCTGTGAATCGGCCTACACTGACTTCAGTTGGGGTGACACACTGGCCTGGGAGGCGCTTGAGATAAAGCGTAATATACTTGTAAAATTGAAAATAGGATGCAGCATGTAAAGCATTCTCAGTTGTAAAGCGGGTCCCTGTGATTCGGCCTACACTGCCTGCTGTTGGGGTGACACCCTGGCCTGGGATGAGCTTGAGATAAAGCGTAATTTACTTGTAAAATTGAAAATAGGATGCAGCATGTTATTATCAAGCCAAAGATAGTGTGTGGTTTTCAAATTCTCATTTGCATATATACTGTGTATCAGCTTCTTTGTTGAGTGTGCCTTCAAAACTCTCTGTGTTTAATATGTGAAAACTCTTTCCGAATTATTAAGCTTCGATTGGTTGCCATGGTCAGGATCTGGGTTGTGATTAAACTCCCGTAACCTATGTACTCACAAGCGAACTTGTTGGAATAGAAGTTTAGAAACCCTTATGGCAATGTTTGTTATGGATGATTGGATAATACTGAATATAATACTAAACGTACCCTTATTGCTCGAGAATGTTGAGAACGATGAAATATTTGTCGGTCACTGGACAGTGTCCTTTCTATAAGATTCCTAGTGAAAGTATCATTTACTTATTTTAAAGCTTGGCCAAACTCTGATTCGTCGCGTTCTCAATAATTGTACATATAACTCAAGGAAATCGAATGTCAGCTCATTTGTAAGCCATAAAATTTCAAAACTGGAAAACACAAGTTCAATGTAAATCGAGTCTTTGGTATTTATAGCACTTTTGCATGGATGCATTATGCGGCTGTCATGGCGCCATTCTCTCTAGATTTTAATCAGAAATCCGAACGTTATATATTTGACTCATGCTTTAATGTACAGAAGCAATTTCCACGTAATACTCACATGAATAGGCCACGTGCATTATTTTTTTTTAAATACATGGTGGGGCCCACTCGCGTGAGTATTATAGTGAGCCCCTGTGGAAATAATTTCTGTACATTGTATATATTTAAGTATTTAAGCAGTAGTAGCCATTGTTGACTACTTTCTTACCAATCAATTAAAGTGGACTGATGAAAAGATCACTGTACATCTTAATTTTTGCATTCAATCTTCTTAAACCGGGCATATTTGGGATTTCAAAATGGAAAACGATGACTGCTTTTTTGTTTGTCAATTCTGGCGACAGGAAATGGTTGCATAGTACCGTTTATAACTTCGGGTTTTTGATAAAAATCTGGAGAGAATCCTAATTATGTTCTTCCCAACATCTTATTCTTACCTACCATTGGCAAATTGAGAGTTCAACAACCTATCTGGTTCTGATTCTTAAACCGCGCAGGGTGACAATCATTCCCAACAAATGAATTTGTCGCCGGTAGCTTCCGCACACATGACTGCAATTAACATTTAAATTCAGAAATGGAAGCCCCGCAATGGCCTTTGGAACATTTACAATCACCAAATGCCGCGATAAATCCTAGTATTTCAATGCCTTGAAAACAAAATTTAAAGCTGCAATAGCCTTTTGTTGCGTAATTTGTATCCCATGTGTACTTTAACAATTCCGAGTTAACTATTTATTTAATTATTTTTAACTTCTTTTCGAATAAAAACATTAAAATTGATTTTAATAATTATCCTTAATATTATAAGTCTTAAAAGAAAAAGTAAAAAGTACGTAACTAAAAAGCATTCTCAGTTGTAAAGCGGGTTCCTGTGATTCGGCCTACACTGCCTGCTGTTGGGGTGACACCCTGGCCTGGGATGAGCTTGAGATAAAGCGTAATATACTTGTAAAATTGAAAATAGGATGCAGCATGTTATTATCAAGCCAAAGATAGTGTGTGGTTTTCAAATTCTCATTTGCATATACTGTGTATCAGCTTCTTTGTTGAGTGTGCCTTCAAAACTCTGTTTAATATGTGAAAACTCTTTCCGAATTATTAAGCTTCGATTGGTTGCCATGGTCAGGATCTGGGTTGTGATTATACTCCCTTAACCTATGTACTCACAAGCGAACTTGTTGGAATAGAAGTTTAGAAACCCTTGTGGCAATGTTTGTTATGGATGATTGGATAATACTGAATAATACTAAACGTACCCTTATTGCTCGAGAATGTTGAGAACGATGAAATATTTGTCGGTCACTGGACAATGTCCTTTCTATAAGATTCCTAGTGAATAATGTTTATCCAGCACTAATTTTAGTGGCAGTGTGGTTAATGCGTGATTTTATTGCAAATCACTTGAGAACGTTTTCAATAGACTATTTATAAAGATCATTTTATGTATAATAGAGATCATAATTAAATTTAAAGAAATATTTTTCTAAAGAAGTATGGTGGGATTTATTTTGAAAAATAAATGACTTGTGAAAAAACCTCAAATTTATCGAAATGTTTGGATATAAAAATATTGCTTAAAAGTATCATTCACTTATTTTAAAGCTTGGCCACTCTGATTTGTCGCGTTCTCAATAATTGTATATAGAATAATGCTATTTGCAATCGTTCATTGCATCAGTCGTCATATGTGGTACACACATGTCAAGTGTGTATTTAATGCATTAATGTGGTCAAAAAGTTACCACATTAATGTATCAAATAACTTCATGATATGTATGTGCCACACAGGACGACTGTTGCAGTGAACGCCTATGAATAGCCTTACTCTTGTACATATAACTCAAAAGGAAATCGAATGTCAGCTCATTTGTAAGCCATAAAATTTCAAAACTGGAAAACACAAGTTCAATGTAAATCAAGTCTTTGGTCTTTATAGCACTTTTGCATGGATACATTGAGCGGCTGTCATGGCGCCATTATCTCTAGATTTTAATCAGAAATCCGAACATTATATATTTGACTCACGAGTGGGCCCTACGCATAAATTTTTTTTCAAATACATGGTAGGGTCCACTCACGTAAGTATTATAGTGAGCCCCTGTGAAAATAATTTCTATACATGGGGAATAATTGTATATATTTAAGCAGTAGTAGCCATTGTTGACTACTTTTCTACCAATCAATTAAAGTGGACAGATGAAAATATCGTTGTACCTCTTAATTTTTGCTTTCAATCTTCTTAAACCGGGCATATTTGGGATCAACCATTGTTGACTACTTTCTTACCAATCAATTAAAGTCGACTGATGAAAAGATCATTATACCTCTTAATTTTTGCATTCAATCTTCTAAACCGGGCATATTTTGGATTTCAAAATGGAAAAAGATGACTGCTTTTTTGTTTGTCAATTATGGCGACGGGAAATGGTTGCATAGTACTGTTTATAGCTTCGGGTTTTTGATAAAAATCTGGAGAGAATGCTAACTGTGTTCTTCTCAAAAAAAAAAAACCAACATCTTATTCTTACCTACCATTGGCAAATTGAGAGTTCAACAACCTATCTGGTTCTGATTCTTAAACCTCGCAGGGCGAACCACACAACCAACCATTCCCAACAAATGAATTTGTTGCCGGTAGCTTCCTCACACATAGTGATGGCAAAAAAACCCGCTCTGCCCCGACGCTGCCCCGTCTCGAATGGGGCAAAAAAAACCCGCCCCGCCCCGTCTAAGGTGGGGCCGGGTAGGGGAGTGGCGGGGCGGGGCAGGGGCAGGGGTGCCCCGTCCCGAACTCGCCCCATTTCTACTCACACATGACTGCAATTAACATTAAAATTCAGAAATAGAAGCCTTTGGAACATTTACAATCACCAAATGCCGCGATAAATCCAAGTATTTCAATGCCTTGAAAACAAAATTTAAAGCTGCAATAGCCTTTTGTTGCGTAATTTGTATCCCAAGTGTACTTTAACAAGTCCGAGTTAACTATTTATTTAATTATTTTTAACTTCATTTCAAATAAAAACATTAAAATTGATTTTAATAATTATCCTTAATATTATAATTCTTAAAGAAAAAGTAAAAAGTACGTAACTAAGAATTTGGGATTTTAATTTATGTAGGGAAAGTATTAATTCTTGATTTTACCATAATTATCCCCTTTTATCTCATTTCTCAAGTTTGATTCCTAAATTTGTATTAAGACATTCACTAATTAAATCAGATATTCTCTCTCAGTTCAAATCAATTTTATCATATCGAGTCAACTCACTATATCTTTACGTAAATTGAAATAAGTTTCAACGAAACACATTTAATCACTTAGGAATGATAATTCATGACTACAAAAATAATAAAAGCATATCTATACCTTTTGTCAAATTGTACTACATGGTCTAATTCTATAACTTTCGCCTCGATTCGTTAAAAATTCACACATCGATGAAATGGTGGCCAATTACTTCAAAGACAACAAAGAATAAAGTAAAATCAACACATGAAAGACTAAAATTCAAGAATCTTGAGCATTGAAATTAAAAGTTCAAGATTAACTAAAAATTGTTTTTGTTTGATTTTGGACCTTTTTTCGTCAAAATGCTCAATTTCTTATCCTATAACTTTCAAAAATGTTCAAATTGGTAGTGAAAACTTCATAATCATTCGAAATTGATACTCTACAAGTTCTAAAAATATAAAAATTAGTCCCCAAGCTTTCAAAATGTTGAATTACACTCTCAAAACTTGGGAATTTCCTCCGATTGCTTCTTAATAATTTTTTTTATCAATCACGTATAATTCGATAACTCCAATTCATTTTCGTTCCAAATGCTTCCAAGTTCGAATTTTACCTATAATTTATCATATTTACACAAAGTTAGGTAAAAATACACCCAAATAGCAATAATTTATCAAATTTAAAAGGAAAGATGAGCTTACAAACAAAATCTATCAAATATCCCGATCTTAAACTCTTGTTTGTACCAAACAAGGAATGTAATAAATAAACAAGTAGACAAAAATAATAATCAATGCATTAGGTATTTTGCCGTATTGGCCCACGTTTTGAAAATGCTTGAATAATGCATAAATGACTTCTAACTCATGCTATCAAAATCATTTTTTTTACTTGTGTGTGTGTGTAGCCAATTCAACCACTGTAGTATTTTAGGTTGGTTATATAAATACCTTTAATGATCAATTGTTTCCTTTCTCATTCG